ATCTATTACATCAAAAGCTTCAGGGGAAAGCCTAAAATTTTAGATTTTTAACAAAATTTGCTCAGGTCACTATAATGCACAATTCTGAGAATTTGTGCAGCAGGCAATCCCTTCAGCCTCATCCCTCACCCACGTGGCTAATTCCCTTTATCAGTTGTAGATGTGGCCAAAAAAAGAAGAGTAAGAGAGTCATGTATTAAATCTACATTTAATGTTCATGGGTATGAGTAGAACAGGGACAAATAAACTGAAAATCCAACTTTATTTCGCTATTAATAAGCTCCTTATCTCCCGCCTTTCCATCAAGACATTCTAGAATTGAGAGGAAAGTTTAGAATCTTAGATTTAAGTGGCTGTTTCTGCCTGGAGGGGTAGTAAGTCGGTTAATAATTTGTTTCATCTTCTGTTGAAGCGTTCCTCATTTTGTCACCACATATTCACTGCCAATATGGTTTCCTCAGAGTCCTCCTGAAATTAATCTCTAGGCAAGTTTCAACTCACTTTCTTTTTCAAACCAAAATTTATTAGCCCCACAGCTAAAGAGCACTTTGTTCAACACATAATCTGGAAGAACAACAAACTAAAAAAACCTCTTCTTGCATTTTCCCTTATTACCTAAATTCCAAGTGACCTGCATATTCCTGATGGTTCTCCTTTACCCTTCCCATTTTTCCCTCTTAAGCCTCACCACTGAGAGATGATACATCAGGTTTTTAGAAAACTGTCAGCAGCCGCAAGATGTCCATTTATTCTAAGTTACTTTAGTTTTGTTTGAGTTTTAAGATAAAGCCTAGTTTCAGGGCATATTTTCTTTCCTGTGTTGTTTTACATTATTTAGGGAAAAAAAAAAACCTGGCATTTAAAAAAAATTGAAAAGGTTTTACCTTTAAGAAATTCACAAATATTTTCCAAAGTATATTTTAAAAAGTTATGCCCTTTAATGCTTCTTTCAAAGTATCATTATTTAAAATACGATTTTAGACAATTAAGTTATTTCAAAATAACTTAATTGTCAAGGTTAAAACCTGTGTCAAGGTTACCTATGTCAAGGTTACCTTACCTATGTCAAGGTTAAAATGAATACTTTGAAAAGAAAATTGATTGATCTACATCTGTCCATTGCTTCAATATTTGCATCATGAGAAAGTAGTTTTTCTGCCAGCGACATACTCTCATTATACCCAGCATAAGGGAGAGCGGTGATGCCATAGATATCCTTAAGATATAGGTTGGTGCCATGTTTCAGCAGAATGATGGCACAAGTCTCTTCCTGGCAATGTACAGCCTGTCCATATTAGATCAAGAAATAGATTGTAAATTCTAAGAATTCAAAATACATATCCCACAGGTTTAACCAACTAGTTATATTTAAACAAAATAAATTTATTTTAATTTTATATATGTAAATCAAACCCATGTCATGCTGAAAGAGTTGGCTACTATATACCTGTATTAAAGGTGTTCTGTTTTGTCACAAAGGTTAACCTGGCATTTTCTGTTTACCAGGAGAGTGACCACTTCCACACAGCCAGTGGCACAGGCCAAATGCAGAGCAGTAGTGCAAGACTAAGAGGACCTTTTAGGAAAGTGTAGTGCAATATGTCAAAACATACAGTCATTCACATAATTGTAAACATTGAATAGCATGTTTTCCCTCTTCCTTATTTTTCTTGAAGAAAGTACAATACTTTTTAGCTCTTATTGCTCACTACCTTAATGAAAACAGCAGCCTATTTGAATAGAAAGAGCTTGGTCTTTGGATTCAGTTCAACTAGGGTTTCAGTCCTACTTTAAACTCTGTCATTTACCAGCTGTTACTTAGCTTTTTGTGCTTCAACTTGCTCATTAATAAAAACAACAATAATAGCTATCTCATAGGACATCATGATGCTAAAATGAGAAACTATGTAAAGTATTTAAAATAGTTCCTACAGCAACAACTCTAAATTGTGAGATTTTCTTTTTTTTTTTTTGAGACAGAGTTTCACTCTTGTTACCCAGGCTGGAGTGCAATAGCGCGATCTCGGCTCACCGCAACCTCCGCCTCCCGGGTTCAGGCAATTCTCCTGCCCCAGCCTCCTGAGTAGCTGGGATTACAGGCACGCACCACCATGCCCAGGTGATTTTTTTTATTTTTAGTAGAGACGGGGTTTCACCATGTTGACCAGGATGGTCTCGATCTCTTGACCTCGTGATCCACCCGCCTCGGCCTCCCAAAGTGCTGGGATTACAGGCTTGAGCCACCGTGCCCGGCTAGATTTTCATTTTTTGAGATAAGTTCTCACATTTTTGCCCAGGCTGGAGTGCAACGATGTAATCATACCTCACTGTAGCAGGGAACTCCTGGGCTCAAGCAATCCTCCATACCCAGTCTCCTGAGTAGCTGGGACTGCAGATGTGCACCAGCATGCCCAGCTGCTAATTTAAGATTTTATGTAGAGCAAGAATCTCATTTTGTTGTTCAGGCCGGTCTCAAACTCCTGGCATCAAGCAATCCTCCCACCTCAGCCTCCCAAAGTTCTGGGATTGTTTCTATTACTACTTACTTAACAAAAAAATTTTAATTAAGTAAAATAATACAATTATACCTACTTTGTAGGATGACTTAAAGAGTAGGTCACATTTTAACACCTCTGATATTTGAATGCCACTTATAATTCATGATTTATTACAACTATAATTGGTAGCATTTAAAAAATTAGTTTATTGATATATATAATAATGGGGCATCACACAATCCATGAGTCCTTACATTAAGTAGCATATGGTATACTCAGCAGGTCTAGGGCAGTTCTAGGGGTATAACTGGCACTTAAATACATTGCAGTTCTTAAAGGTACTACGGGGAAGAACACTGAAATAACAGTAATGTATTTTTTAAACAAATTAATTCTTGGATTTTTCAAACAACTTGAAGACAAAGGAATCTCATGATTCAAATGAATAGGTATGGATCATTTAATTCAATACTTATATTTAGAGAATATATGCAAATCAGACTTTCCCATGATTAATATTAGTGTTTAAGGTGGATAAACTTTTCAAAGGGCGGTTCAAGGTTATCTTCTACTATTTTCTAACTTCAGAAATCCTTTTGTTTGAAAGATGGGAGATAAAGTTTAAATGAGATTAAGTTCTAATATCCCCATTTCAAATCTCTCGGCTTGTGCAGACAGGGCAGGTAAACACAAAGTTTCTAAGGATGGAAGGGTCCTGAGAGATAGTAGAATACGTCTGCTACAGAATAGGTACTCAGGTTATGTTTGATGAATAAATTGAATGAAAGAATGGATAAATACAGATGGGGAGTTCAATATTTTTAAATAAACTCCTATAAAGCAGTATTTTTGCAATAGTAATCATTTATATTTGTTATTTTTATTTTCAAAGAATACAAGTAAAATGAAACAACTGATCTATCATTGTTTGCAAATGAGTTAAATCTTTGTGTAAGAAAAATATGTGTACATAATAAAATAGATACATAAAATCTGGAGACAGATAAAAACATTCCCTTTTTAGTTCTGAAGAGGCTAAAAGTTCATAGATAACGCACAATAATAATGATGATAAAAAATAGAGAGATTGTTTTTATCTGGGCAATGTTCATATTCCTCTTCCCAAGAATTATTCCATTAATACTAAACTTGTACTAGAAGTGTTGTACATGCTCACTGAAGCAACCACAGTTAGGAAAAACTTTAAAGGCCGGGCGCGGTGGCTCAAGCCTGTAATCCCAGCACTTTGGGAGGCCGAGGCGGGTGGATCACGAGGTCAAGAGATTGAGACCATCCTGGTCAACATGGTGGAACCCCGTCTCTACTAAAAATAAAAAAAATCAGCTGGGCATGGTGGCGCATGCCTGTAATCCCAGCTACTCAGGAGACTGAGGCAGGAGAATTGCCTGAACCCAGGAGGTGGAGGTTGCTGTGAGCCGAGATCGCGCCATTGCACTCCAGCCTGGGTAACAAGAGTGAAACTCCGTCCCAAAAAAAAAAAAAAAAAGAAAAAGAAAAACTTTAAAATGCAAATGCCCAGAAATTAGAAATGTTATCGCATTTTGCACACATTTTTTGTTAACACAAGACCATAGTATGTTTGTGTGTGTGTATAATCAAACTTATTATTTTTTCCTTGCTGGCTATAACAAAATATATCTTTGCACATCAACATACTTCTATATTTATTGTCACATTCAATGGTTACATATTATTCTATCCTATGGCTGCAACAGAAATTTATTTATAGAATTCATTCTATCTGTTCTTTTAAAAATAAGTGCTGCAAAAAACAAAGTGCCTGTATCTCTGCTTCCTAAGGATATTTCAGTATAATGGAATTGATGGGCAGAGTATCCACATTTTTTAAACGTAGTACTTACCACCACATTGTCTATTTAAAAAGTAATCGGCAACTTAAACCTTAAGCAGCAGTACAAAACATCTTCACACATATTGTGGACAGAAAACAGTTTCATTCCTCTTTTAATTTAAATTCTTATACCAGAAACGCAAAGAATTCTTTCCTATGTACATAAGTAACTTGTAAATCTGCAAAAAAGTTCTTTGCCCACTTTTATTAGAGTTTTTATTTGATTTTAAAGAATTTCCTATAAGATGAAGATGCACTTTTCATCTAATGTGTATATATGTAACTTTTCATCTAATTTGTATATATAACTGATTTACATATAACATTATATATGTAATATATATGCTATACATGCCAGTACTATACATCACACGATATATAATATAATGAATTCCCTGTAAAATGAAAACACACTTCTCATCTGAATATATATATAATATAGTAAATACTTTTCAAGTTTGTTTTCTTTCTCATTTTTTTTCTGATACACAGGTAGTTTTAATTTTTAGTTTGCTAAATCAACCTTCAGAATGCCTGCCTCTGCGGTCATTCTTAGGAAGGCTTTGCCAACATAAAATATACCTGTAAAATAAGCATGTGTGTTTTCTTCTGATACTTTTGTCACTTGCATATGTAAAAGTTTCAATCTGTGTTCCATCAGGCACTCATGTTTGTGATATAAAATTTCATTAGTTTTCTTCAAAGAGCAGACATTGTTTTCATTAATAATTCATCCTTTCCTATTTTTATCTGTCAACATTATCAATCCTTACATATGTCTTATATCATTTCAGTGTTTCTGCATTTCCTATTCTGTTCCATGCATTTATCGATATTTTCAGCTTTTAGTAAACAATTATTCAAATTAATAGCACATTTTAATATCTAGAGAAGCATTTTTTCAGTCCATTATAAAATTATTTAAAATGTCATCACAATAGTAAAAGACAGCAGGTGTCGTGCAAAAATGTTAAAACCTTGATATTTTCATTCGGTTTATGTAAAATTGATAAACACAAAGAGAGTTCACATTTTGAGAAAAATGTGTCTTCTCATTCAAGTACACAAAACCCACCTCCCACTTCCAAGTTTCCCTCTAAGACCCTTCAGTAAACAACCGATCTATGTAAAACGGGCAGTTTTATCTAAAAAATTTTCGCCTGCTGAAAATGACTCCCGGTATTTTTGATAGGGGAATGAGTTCTCTCAGTAGGGACCTCCTGTAACGTATAAAACACCATACTTTAAACATGAACGTTAAAAATAACAACACTGTATATGCCTAACTTAGTGAGTTAAATCACTCACACTCTCCAAGTGCTCCAGCTGGGGAATTAGGAAGGATACAGCAGCTGAGGCTCATAAGGCTCCGCTGCTCCGAGGGTGCCCAGCGCCCTCCAAGGCCCTGTCCCAAGGGGGAAGCCGGGCCTAGGGAACCCTCCAAACCCGGGCTGAGCCCCGCTACCTGTGCGGCTTGTCGCGGGCTTCCAGGTCTCCGCTCCGGTGTGCAAGGCAGCTCCACCTCCGCGGCGGTGCCCCCGACAGCCATCCTGTGGATCTCTCGCTGTTCCGCGTCTCGGATTCGGTGCCGGGAAGCGGTGTAGGCGGGGTCTATGGAGCCCAGGACCTGAGGCTCTGCTCTGCCTTGGCCCCTGGCTCTCGAACCCGAGGAACTTCTTCAAGGTGGTGACTTCTCAGATCCCCAGCAACTAGCTTCTGGCTCCTCCCACCCCCACCTGGCGCCAACCCCCAATCTACAATCCCAAATCTGCTTTCTAGCCCAGAACCCGTGATCCAGCCGGGTCACCACAGCCTTCAGCAGCAACACTTGCAGCCTCCGACCTCAGACCAAGCGAGCCCCGCAAAGCCGTTAGGTGCGCGCCTGCGCCACGGTGGCCGCCCGGCTCCCGGAAGCCGCTCCCAGGTGCGCGCAGGCAGGTGGGGATGCAGCTGGGGGCAGGCGGGGCTGCAGCTGGGGGCAGGCATCACTGGGCTCCCGGTTCTCTTGGGCTCGCCCGGGCTGCCGGAGGACAACAGGAACAGGATTGCAGGCGCGCATTTCATATCACAAACATGAATTCCTGATGGAACATTATCAATCCTTACCTATATCTCATATAAGGGAGGAGGGGGAGACCTGTCTGACCATGCCGCCGCCCCAACTCCTCCTCAAAGGGAGACCGGGTCTGGCATGGGCACTCAGCGGCACTGGAGCGGCTTCGTGGATGGGCTGGCTTCAACGCCGAGACTCTGGCCCCGGTGTCTGCCTGGCAGGTGTCACGGAGCGGGAGATGCATGGAAAGTCAGGGGTTGCTCCTTCCCCCACCGGCCCCCACTGCTGCCCGTGCTGGATGCGCAGTTTGCAGGTACAGCTCTGGTACTGGTGTGAGATGGTGGAGCTTCGCTTGGGTGGCATCAGGGTCGCCGAGTGCACAGCCCATCCGGCCTAAGGGGCCGCTCCTCTTGGACACCTTTCCAGATCCTGAGCCCCTGCGCTGGGCACTCTGCATCCACACCAATGAGACTGAGCGGCTGCTAGCAGGGCGGACCACCTGACTTTGCCGCCTGGATTCCCAGCATGAGGAGCTGGGGGCGTGGGCATGGTCTGGGGTGTCCAGCCACTTGCTGCTCCCATGCCACGTCTAGGCAGCAGGGGTGACTTGGGTGCCAGCAGTGGATGGGGGAGCCGGGTACCTGATGTCCTCAGGGTTAAGTGCATTGCCCGCCCACCTGAGGGTCTGCTCTGCCTTGGCCTCCTCCAAGAGTACAGGGGCCATCAGGTGGCAATTTAGGAATGCTTAAATTGAAGGAAACATTCTTTCTCTCTCTTTGAGAGATAAGTGGTGGTTTTGTTTTGTTTTGTTTTTGATACTCAGTTACAGCACAAACAAAGATGAGGCAGAGGTGAAGGTCCACAGCCAGTTCCTCTATCGATTACCTCCAGACATAAATGTTCAACGTAACTGCTTTGCTTGTCACTTTCACCTCAACACTTACATATGCCTACAGATCTGTTCAATCACAACTGTTGGATTTAGAATTATTGAATACACAATTATTTCATAATAATTTAATACCCAAACTACTTTTAATAGTCTACTATCTCTGCAATCCTGAATTATTCGTTTTTCTTTGTTTATAAAACCATTGCTATAGTAAGATCAAAATCACAAAACTCACATTTCATTGGGTTAAAAAAGCATCAAAACATATTATACATAAAAGATGATAAAATGTATTTGTTTCATCATAAAAATTATGGGTTTGCAAAGTTTTTATATGTTTAGCTGCATTCCTGATTCTTTAACTTTAACCCCTCAAATCTTATGTCCTCACATTTCAAAATCAATCATGCCTTCTCAAAAGTCCCACAGGTCTTATTTCAACATTAACTCAAAAGTCCACAGTCCATAGTCTCATCTGTGAAAAGGCAAGTCCCTTCCACCTATGAAGCTGTAAAATCAAAAGCAAGCTAGTTACTTCCTAGATACAATGGGAATACAGGCATTGAGAAAATATAGGTGTTCCAAATGAGAGGAAAAACAGGGGTTAGAGGTCCCATCCAAGACAGAAATCCAATAGGGCAGTCAAATTATAAAGTTCCAAAATAATCTTGAGGAAATCGTCTTACCTGTTTTTCCTTTTGTGGTTTGTGCTTTGGTGTCCTCCCAGAGGAGGACACAGCTCCACCCTCGAAGTGCCCCCAGGTCTATACTGAGAACACAACTCTGCAGACCACTGTGACGTGACACAGGGTGGCGCTGTGACGCGATGCACATCAGTGGCGGAGCCTCAGGAATCTGAAAAGGCAGGCTTGGGTGCCCCCTCCTGGCGGCCGGGTACTGCAGGGTCCTCTTGCTCACAGTGTAGTGGCAACATGCCCCCTGCTGGCAACCAGGGCTATGCAGTGTCCTCTTGCTCACTGAGGTGCCTGTGCGGCTGGGCCCTCTTACTCACGGTGTAGTGGCAGCCCGCCCCCTGCTGGCCACTGGGGGTACTGCAAGATCCTCTTGTTTGTAATTTCATGGCCGCACCCCCGTGCTGGCAACCAGAGAACTGCAGGGTCCTCTTGCTTACCGTGTGGTGCTGCGTGCCCCCTGTTCTCTTCTCGGGGCACTGTAGGGCCCTCTGACTCACAGTGTAGTGGTGGCACACCACCTGCTGGCAGCTGGGACACTGCAGGGCCATCTTGCTCATAGCGTAGTGGCAGCACACCCCCTGCTGGCTTCTGGGGCACTGTAGGGTCCTGTTGCTCACAGTGTACTAGCAGCTGGGGACACTGCAGAACCCTCTTGCTCAGTGTTGTGACAGCACATACCCTGCTGGTAGTTGGGACACTGCAGGGCCCTCTTGCTCCCAGTGTGATGGCTGGCGCCCCCTACTGGCCTCCTTCTGCAGCACTTAAAATCAGAGTGCCAGTTATTCAGCACCCACAGTTCTGGAAATATGAACTGAAACGGAGCTATTACTAGAAAGAGTTGATGTCCCAGTTCTTGACTAACTTGGAAGAAAGATTTTCACCAAGTAGGCCCCAAGGGAGGAGCAAGCTGATCCTGCAAAAAAACAGCCCAAGAGTCTTGTGCCTGGAATTTTATTTTGGACTTCTTTATATTCCTGCCTCTGTCTCAAGTCTCCACCTGTTTTCTTTGTCTGGTTTTTCTGCTCCTAACTTAGGTCCCTGGCTTGCCCGTCTTTGGCTTGTGGGACCGCCTCACTGTTGGTTAAGGCACATGTGTGGAGGTCAATCCAAATCCACTGTTGGGGCTGGCTCCTTCCCATCTCCCAGGAAGGCCCGACAGTGGTCACATCTGTACCTCCTGTGCCTGCCTATCTCGTTTGAATCTCCTTCTCTGCCCTAATCTGTGCTTATGGTGCCAGGTTTCTCTTAAGAATGTCCCCTTCGTCCTTCTTATCAGCATGTAGCTAGCAATTTTCTGACATTTTAACTGTAGAGTGAATGATGATTGGGGCATCCTAAGAGGAGTTCTAGGGTATTTCTTTCTGCATAGGTACCTCTTCTTCCTTCTACCCACAACTGACAAGTGCCCATCCACTCCAGCATTAGAGATGCTACTAATATATAAATTTTTGATGGTCCCTCTAGGTGAGCCTTCCCATCATGTTCATGTCCAGCTATCTACCGACTCTAACAGAGCCCACGATCCTGTGTCTTTCCCAAAAGTAGGGAAGGAACCATTCATTGGAAACCATAGGAAATAAAATGAATGTAGGTGAAAACTTTACAATTTATACAAATAATCACTCAAAATCATCCTTACACTGAAAATGCAAAACTATACAATTTCTAGAAGAAATCATAGAATAAAAGCTATCTGCCCTTGGGTTTGGTAATGAATTTTAACAAGCAACACAAAGTGTCAATACACACAGAACAAAGAATTAAGCGGATTTTTTAAATATTAAAAGTGTATACTCTGGAAAAGACCTTGTTAAGAGAATGAAAAGACAAGCCACATATTGAAAGAAACTATTTGCAAAATACAGATCTGAGACTTTGTATTCAATATACAAAAAAATCTTAAAACTAAGTAAAACAGCCCAATTAAAGATGCACACAAATCTGAACAGACACCTCACCAAAGGATTTAAGAGAAACCAGCCCTTTCAAAAGACTCCACCACTGATATCAACCAACTGCTTGAAGCTGCCTCTCCTTTCTTGCCTGATAAGAGAACCACAGAGAGGTTCTGGCCAGTATGCAGAGGATGCACAGAGCAAGTTTTCATGTTCTCTGCTTCACCTTTTAATGTCAGAGGGCTGAAAACTTCACCCTGGGATCATGCTAATACTGCCATTATTTGAACATGGGACCCATGAAGGAGTAAGAAACTCAACTGCGATTGCACGCATTTCTCCTTTCATAAATATTCATGGCTCCTCCTAGAGCTTATTAAATATGTGTATTTGGCCATGCCACTCAGCATAAATTACTGTTTCCCTTACCTCTCCCTTGAAGTATCTGCTTCTGGCTTCTGGCTGGAGTCTATGCTTCCCAGCCTATTAGAAGGACTATCCTGCAGGCTGCAACCCTTTATAGGAAATAAATCTCTCACTGAGTGCAGTGGCTCATGTCTGTAATTCCAGCAATTTGGGAAGCCAAGGTGGGTGGATCACCTGAGTTCAGGAGTTTGAGACCAGCCTGGCCAACATGGTCAAACCCTGTCCCTACAAAAAATACAAAATATTAGCCAGGCCTGGTGGTGGACATCTGTAATCCCAGCTAATTGGGAGGCTGAGGCAGGAGAATTACTTGAACCCAGGAGGTGGAGGTTACAGTGAGCCAAGATCACACCATTGTACTCCAGCCTGGGCAACAAGAGTGAAACACCTTCTCAAAATAAATAAATAAATAAATAAAAATAAAGAAATATCTCCTTTCCAAAGTTATGAACCTTGTCATTCTTCAGTTGACAGTGTTACAAAGTTCAAAAGACATTCCATTCTCTCCCTCTGAAGTCCTAGAAATTGTCATTTTGTTAATGATTTTAGATGCCTGAGAACTTGTAATTGAATGAGTAGAAATGTTGAAATTGTGCTTTACCACCTATGTATCTCTTAATCCAATCAAGTAGATCTCTAAAATTAACCACGAGAATATGTATGCCTGAATTATGGCTAAAATTTTAGGATGAAAGCTATAGATTTCTATTTGTGTTTTATGCCTATTAACGTATGTTATATCTATATGTGATATTTTCTTAACTTCAGATAGCAATGCAAAATTCATTGATAAAATCCTCTAAAAGCACTCTATTTCTAACTTAGCTTGGAAAAAATATAAGCATTTCTAAATAAATATTCCCCAAACTCCTAGAAATGTAGGAACCGATACAAATGTTTTTCAAGTTAACACAATTCAGATAAAACATAGTTAAATAAGATTGATTTAATATTTTTGGTGTAATAAAACAACTATGTCTTCAGAGCTATCACTATTGAATATAAAACAAACATACATTTCTATTCTGCTTGAGTTCTAGTCAAATAAGCTAATATTATGTTTACTAGATACTTAAAATCTTAAAGCTTATAGATTTGATTCTAATTAAGTTGTTATTTTTATTAAAAACATTATTTTAATAATAATTTTTTTACAGTTTTTTTACAGAAACTACCTAATAATAGTTTCCAAAATACTTTTGGTAATTTTTAACCTTAAAGTTAAGCTAATTAAAATATTTGCATTAAACATCTAGATAATTTATAAAAAAGCTACAATACTAAAACATTAATTACTGAACATAACTAATTCAACTTTATATGCTTTTGCCCCCTATTTTAATGGAGAGACTAAAGATATTTTGGCCTGTTAATAAATAAATATTATTTTTTGTCTACTACACTGAGAAATTGTACTATGAGGAAACACATCCCTCTAGATGTTGGGAGATCGTATACTCATACATTGTCTAATCTACTATAGAATGTTAATATATGCCAATTTAAAATTGTCTACTTCCAAGTTTACTCTGGGAAATAAAGATTAATAAGTATTAAAAATATAATCAATATATATAAATAAAATTACTAGAAATAGTAGAATAATGAGAAACGACTCTATGCAAAGTATGCAAGAAAAGTAGGGCAAGTTTTGCAAGTAAAGCAGCTTGTATTTTTTATAAGAAAAACTATACAAAATATACAAACAAAAAGAGATACCTAACCTTCCCTGGGTTACATTTATATAGGTAAAATGTTAAGCTTTCAGAAATTATGTAAAATCCTGGAAATTTGTCGGTGTCGTCCTTATCCACGCTATGTACCGGTATAGTGTTGTGAGTCACAGTATCATTATTATTTTAAATGTTGCATGCCATAGACAAAATTGAATATCCTTGTTAGTTGTGGTATAATGAACTCTCATCAGATCTTTCATCACAGCCATTTCATGCTCTTTGTCATTTAGATATTATCTAGCCCTGATGCTTTCCTGAAAGCTCCTGCAATCAGCTACAGGTCAGGGTGTTTGTCTCCAACACAGGACTCCCTGAGACTCACAGAAAACACGATCACAGGTACTCTGGTTATAGGCTTCTGATGATATTGCTTAAATAACTTTAAGACTATACACTTGACTCAGTGAGGCTCTCCAGAAGTCTAGTTGAGAAACTGACAGGTTGATGACACTGCTAACCCAAAATTCAGCAAGACTGGAATTGATTACATGGCACTGAAAGAACTGATGAAAATTGATTATAATTTTATAGCTTTTGTTGAGCATTGCTGTTTCTTTAATGTTATGGTTTCTGGATTTAAGAAATCTCTTTCTCTTAAGCTAACTATAACTCACCACAATTTAGTAGATTACACTTTTGTAAATAGCAGTGAAGCATTTATCTTTTTTCCCTGACTGATTTCTCCAGAATTTTGAAATTCTAACTGAATACTCTTATTTTCATGACAATATAGTTGTTAGCAGAAGTCCAATAAGAATCTGTTCACCACACGTATTTACAGGTTTAAATGAAATATTGGTTGGCTGCTTGTGAATTATTTTCTTCCCTCATTTTTTTTTATGTCTCTATTATTAAACATAATTACAGGCATACCCATTTTAAGACTGCATTTTAGCCCGGGCAATAAAGCAACACCCCTGCACCCCTGTTCTCTCTCCCTCTTCCTCTTTCTTCCTTTCCTTTATTTTTTTTCTTTTTCTTTTTCTTTTTTTTATTCTTTTTCTTTCTTTCTCTCTTTCTTCCTCAAAAAAAAAAAAAAAAAAAAAAAAAATCTGTTCACCTTAGAACAGGACGTAATTGGAAACTTTGGTTATATTATCAAGGCTTTTACTGGAATATCATATTTAAGTAGCGTACCTAAGATCAGTTATGACCAGCAATTTTAAGGAACTAAGGTTGACTTTTATGGAGCACATCCTTATAAGGCACTCTGAGAAAAACCAGCCTGATACCTAGATTACAGGGTTCACAGCCTTACAGGTTAGTAAGGAAGGTCATTTTCTTGTAAGCCCAGGTTTTGGGGACAGTTTGGGGGTCTCAAGAAGAGAGGAATTCACCCAAAGCTATAAGGACTGCAGCTGAAATTTGATAGTATGTTCTGGGCTTGGCTTTTAGCCTCAATATGGCCTTTAAAAGTCCAATCTGAGATTCTGTATGAAAACGTCCAGCAAAGAAGCTTGAAAGCACTTATGTGGTCAGCTCCTGTTCTTGCTGCACTTACATAATCGGGCAAAATCTAACAAAATTACGCTTATTTTCAAAACAAGAATAATCTGACTTTGATCATCTATGATCAAAAATGATGGTTACAATAGAGAAAAAGTTTATGTTTCAATGGAAAGCTATAACTGGGCCAGGCATGGTGGCACATGCCCACAATTCCAGCACTTTGGGAGGCCAGGAGTTCAAGACCAGCCTGGGCAACATGGTGAAACCCCATCTTTACTAAAAGTACAAAAATTAGCTGGGCATGATGGTATGTGCCTGTAGTCCCAGCTAATCAGGAGGCTGAGGAGGGAGGCTTGCTTGTACCCAGGAGATAGAGGGTGAAGAGAGCTGAGCTTGCACCATTGCACTCCAGCCTCTGCGATAGAGCCAGACCCTGTCTCAAAAAATTTTTTAAATAGGAAAACTATAGCCCTTGAGGGTTATCAGGTTCTAGTCTTGTTTCTTGTCTTTGGGCTATTTTTACCTCTTTGAAAACTGGATCCTGCCATCTGATGAATTTTGTCCCACGACGACACTTGTGGAACAAGAAGCCAAGTATTGTCTCCTCTACTAATGTGTCTATTGTCACTTAATGCGAAGGCCTCCAACCCTGGAACAAAGTTAGAAGAGGAAGGTTTGGTCCCCAGAATGCATAACCAAGTTGTGGTACATTCATGCAATGGATACTATTTAGCCGTAGAAAGGAACAAGCTATCAACTCACACGAAGACATGAGTGATCTTTCATGCACATTGCTAAATGGAAGAAGACAGTCTCAGGAGAATCCACACAGTGTGACCTCATTTAATGAGATTCTGGAGAAGGGAAATACACAGATGGGAAGGCTTTGGCTGCATGGGGTGGGGGTTTGAAGCATTCCATGTGATACTTTAATAGTGGATACTTGCCACTATGCATTTGTCAAAACATGCAGAATTTTACATCTAAATGGGTAAATCAAACTCTATTCTAATTAAATAATATTATTCAGGATATGGAGTATCACAGCACAGAATACATAGTGTGAAAAATAACTATGCTACAAATTACTATGGTTTGGATGTGGGTTGCCCCTGCAAAAACTCATGTTGAAATTTGACCCCCAATGTGGCAGTGTGTGGAGGTAGGGTCTAGTGGAAGGTGTTTGGATTATGGAGATGGATCCCTCATGAATAGATTAATGCCCTCCCATGGAGGTGATTTCTGTCTGCTCTCACAGGAATGGATTAATTCCTGCAAGAGTAGATTGTCAAAAATAGTCTGGTTTCCTAGGCTTCCCTCTTGTTGTGATCTCTGGCGCACCCCTTGCTCCCCTTCCACTTTCCACCATGAGGTGAAAAAGGCTGAGGCCCCACCAGATGCAACTGCCCAATCTCAGACATTCCAGCCACCAGCATCATGACCCAAATGAACCTTTTTTACTTACAAATTACCCTGCCTCAGGTATTCTGTTATGGAAGCACAAAATGAACTAAGACAGGAATGTGGGAAAAAACTCACTGAAGGTGTAGGAAAAATGGTGCTGACCTAAGTCCTTTGAAAATGAATAGAATCTGTACACTGGAGGCAAATGAACTATACTTCATCGGATTCCATTTTATAAAGTTCTTTCCAACAGGGGTAATTGTGAACAATTGTAAAACCACGGTATCTGTATCTGGAATCAAACAATGAGTTACATAAGTCCTAGATGGTAGGAACCAGGTCTACCACTGTTGCAGTGGGAGGTTACAAATTAGCAAGGGGAGAAGGGTAGAAAGATTCATGTGGTGAAGATTCAGAGGTGAAGACATCAACGTAAACTTATGTTTAGTTTAATACAGATACATACAGTTCCACATCGAAACCTTTGTAATTGGGTGTGTATAGGTAGGTGACATACACACATATACTTCCTAACATAGCTAATGAGGGACAAGACACAGTGTGCTCACTCAGCAGGCAGATATAAGTTTTCCTACCATTCTGAAAGGAATCAGGCTCTTTGAAGACTTTGTCCCAGTCTGATACTAGAACTGGGACAGTAAATATATGATCCAGGATAATCTTGAAGTATCAGAAATTAAGTAAGTACTAAAAAAAAAAAAAAACTGAAATATGTCAAAGAAAAATTGGAGCCAATAAAAAGAGCTACCAATGACCAACACAGAAATGAACTGTTCAACATAATGCTGTAGAGTTTAATGCTAACTAAAGCTTCAGGTAATTATCTAGGTGTCTGTATTTGTATATGTAGGTGAATAAGCAAATGGAGTTGAATAGAAATCTCCTATGCAAAAGAATTCCAAATAATTGATGTAGACACTCAGCTATCAGGGAGGTGGCGCTAACCCCTCACTCCGTGAGTATGGGCTTTACATTTGTGTAAACTTATTTATTATATTTTTTCCTGTGCTGTGGTTGTGTCCTAGGTTCCTTCTCTAAAATGCTATTCACCATAGGCCAGGAAAAAAAAGCAACCTTACAAACTCTGTTTCAATTCATGGCTAAATATTTTTAAAACAGTGACTTTGTAAAAATACGTTCCAATGGCAAATTGATTCATTGTGACTGGATCACTTATTCCAAATACTTCTTGTCTTTATTTTGTTCCAGTGCCTACTTTTTAGCCATAATACACCAGAATCAAATATTGGCCACTGGGAAAAAGTATTCAAAGAAAGAAAGAATGTGAACCAAACTTGCGACCATCATGATTCAATGTTGCACTACAACGTTTTCTAAAACAGAAGAGTTTAAAAGGATATTCAAAGTCAATCTCCACAATGAGGCTTTGCAGAAAATGAGGAAACCAGGGAAACAAAAATGGCAGGACATTCTATGGGAGATTTTAGATGTTTCTATGTTTTATGGGGAAAACTCACTTTACCTTTTAAAAAATCACAAATAATTATTGGAAACCCAAACCCTGGAATGTTTCACAAATTTAGTTGAACTTCTATGTAGTTCTGTCTATATAGCTAGCCATGAAGTTGATGATTTTTAAAACATCTGTGCCTTATTTGTGTAATAAAATACACAATGAATAATTAACCCTCATAGGAAAACATGTTAGACCTTGTGAAAGGAATATAAACACTGGGGACCCAAAATCACTAGGCTAAAGGGAAAAGTCAAACTGGGAATTGCTTAGGGCAAATCTCCCTCCCATTCTATCCAAAGTCACCATCTGCTCATTGAGATAAATGCATATCTGATTGCCTCATTTGGAAAGGGTAATCGGCAGCTCAAAATAATGAAACCGTTCATCTTTCCCTACCTATGACCTGGAAGCCCCCTGGCTGGCCTTCTCTTCAAGTTGTCTCACCTTTCAGGACTGAACCAAGGTACATCCTACACGTAATGATTGATGTTTCATGTCTCCCTGAAATGTATAAAACCAAGCTGTGCTCCTACCACCTGGGGCACATGTTGTCCAAACCTCATGAGGATACATCACAGGTGCAGGCATCCTCAAACTTGGCAAAATGAACTCCCTAAAACATCTGAGATCTGTCTCAGATTTTCAGGGTTCATACATGTAATGTAGGATGTTAATGTTGGTAAAACACACATTATTCTATCTACTATTACAACGATACAGCCCATTAGCCTTAGACTTTCTCCACAAAATAAAAAATGTTGATAAGATACAAATAATATATTTAAACTTAAATAATGTTGCAAGTTTTAATATGTGTACTTTTCATTTTTTTAATACTTTTTTGACTACTGTAATGCTGTAAGAAAAATGAGTAATTAAAACATGAATAAAAGTGTTTACAGGGGGTGCACATGTTTCCTCCAGCCTCAGGCTTGGGGTGACATGAAAGGCAACTGCCCATCCCCAGCTTTCATCCCAGCTGTCCTGATGGTGGCTCTCAGCATTTCTCCTTTCTCTATACGAAGATCAAACTCTAGAAACAAACCCAGATCTTACAATATGTTGTGACATGCTATGATGATGAGCAGTCAAAGCCTCAAGCAAGGGAAGCTTTTAAAAACAAGACTTACAGAACATAATGTGTGAAAGCAAAGCCAGTGTTGGGGTTCCTTCCTCTGCACACGGGGAGCAGACAGGGAGCTTTTGCCTCACCTTCCTCACATGGCCTGCAGCCACGTCTCCCCAGGTCAGACTTGAGGAGAATGAAACTTTGGTCTTCACTGTGGACATGCTACCAAGGGCTCCAAAGCCACGGTCTCTCTGCGGGTGGGTCCTGATCAGCCTGCTGCAGGAGCTGGGCCCTGGTTCTGGAGGTGAGAATACATCCTGGGCTTCCACTGCGTGGCTGGCACAGTGGGCATTCAGGTGCCTATTTGGGGACTGCTATGGAGTCCTGTGCCAGATGCAGTGGTGCACAGCTGGGAGCCAAGGGTCCCTGCTTCTGCTGGAGAATCTGGGCAGATGTAAAGGGTTAAGGTTAGGGGTAGGGGTAGGGTTAGGGTTAGGGATTAAGGTTAGGGTTGGTGTCAGGGTTTGGGGGCCGGGGTCAAGGGTCAAGGGTCGGGGTCAGGGCTAAAGAGTAGGGTTAGGGATTGGGGTAGGGGTAGGGTTAGGGTCAGGGGGTTAGGGTTTAGGGTTAGAGATTAAGGTGGGGGTGGGGGGGTGAAGGTAAGGGTAATAAGCAGATCAGTAAAAACAATTCTGCTTCCCTTCAATAACAACCTTCTCCAACTCATTTTGTCTCAACACACTTATTTTTCCAGCAGAAGAATCCCAGGCTTCTTAAAGCATGGTAGGCACCTGTAATCCCAGCTACTCAGGAGGCTGAAGAATCGCTTGAACCTGGGAGGTGAAGGAAGCAGTAAGCCGAGATCACGCCACTTCACTCCAGCCTGGGCAACAGAGCAAGACCCTATCTCAAAAAAAGAAAAGAAAAGAAAATAATTAGTATAGTTTTGTCGCCAGAAAAGGGGTCTTGTCCCAGACCCCAACAATGGGTTTTTGGATCTCACATGCGATGGAATTCATGGCGAGTCACAGAGTCTAGTGACCTTAAGAGAGTTTATTAGCCACTACTCAGTTACAGAGCAGGGAGTCCTCAGAAAGCAAGAGGAGGAACGCGCCTTTTTAAAGAAAAAAAATTTTTTTTGAGACAGAGTTTTACTCTTGACACAATGACATGATCTCAGCTCACTACAACCTCTGCTTCCTGGGCTTAAGGATTCTCTTGCCTCAACTTCGCAAGTAACTGGGATTACAGGTGTGCACCACCATGCCCGGCTAATTTTTTTGCATTTATTTTCCATTTTAAGTTATTTTTTATTTATTTAATTTTTTAAAATTCAGTACCTATACAGACTGCCAAAAATTGCCAATGCCAACTCTATTTCCTATATTATAGTATTTCCAACTATATTGTAGTTGTCATGGCAGAGTATTGGGAAAAGTTTTCAATTAGCAATAATTGCGCCTCAGATAAACCTCATTGGCTATGATACTGCCACTATGCAAAGCTATTTTTTTGTATTTTTAGTAGAGACTCAGTTTCACCACGTTGGCCATGCTGCTGACCAACTCCTGGCCTCAAGTGATCTGCCTTCTTTGGCCTCGCAAAGTGCTGGGATTGCAGGTGTGAGCCACTGCGCCCGGCCTTAATGTTTGTTTATATAGGTTATTAAGAATAGTGTTGTCTCTTATAAAGGCCTCTGATCAGTTTGTGTCAGGCTATTAGTATTGTTACTTTTCTATATTACTACTGATTTTAACAATAATTTATGAGTGTGCCATTATCTTTAAAGTAAAACATTTTTAAATTAAGAATGCTTATTGCTTAAAGTACTGGTAAATTTTTTTAAGTTTGGGGTCTTTATTTAGTTCTTAACTTGTTCTTGCAACCATAAATATTTTATAACCAAAGGTGCTCAACACCTAAATATATAATCCAACAAATTTAACGTGTGTGTGTGTGTGTGTGTGTGTGTGTGTGTGTGTGTGCGCGCGCGCGACAGGGTCTCACTCTGTCTCCCAGGATTGAGTGCAGTGGTGTGATGATCGTTGGCTCACTGCGGCATCAAACTCCTGGGCTCAACCAATCCTCCCTCCTCAGCCTCCTGGGTAACTGGGACCACAGGCAGGCGCCACCATGCCAGCTAATTTTTATATTTTTTGTAGACATGAGGGTCTCGCTATTTTCCCAGGCAGGTCTTTAATTCCTGATCTCAAGTGATCCTCCCACGTTGACCTGCCAGCCTGTTGGCCAAAAGGGGAGGTGTGAAGGCGCCGGGCAGTTGGCAGGTGGAGCCAAAGATGGAAGACTTCCTTGACCGGGAATCAAACCTGGGCCAGGCGTGAGAACACCGAAACCTAACCACTAGACCACCAAGGAGCGTCGTCCACCAGACCAGGCTTACGCCTCCTGACCCCAAATCCTGTGGCTCCAGCACTGAGCGCTACCCTGGCCCTGTCCCCTGCTTGGGTTTAAAACAAACACCCACCAACCGCCCCCACCGACGCCGACGCCTAGGCTGCGCCCGCGGCAACCCGCCTGCCCTAGCAGCTCTGGTCCTGTTCTCAGCCGGCCCTCCAAACACTGCCGCCTGCTTTCCCGGGCCTCCGCAAAAGGTGCGCCGCTGCGTTGGCCGGGAATCGAACCCGGGTCAACTGCTTGGAAGGCAGCTATGCTCACCACTATACCACCAACGCCGCAAGGCACAGGCAAAAATACCACGCCGGCCCGGGGCTCCCACGAGCGAGCGCGCCGCCTAAGCCCGGCGCAGCCCGACTGGCCGCTGGGTCTGTCTGTCCCTGCGTCCGGCCGTCCATCCGCCCGGCTAGCTGGTACTGCGCTTTGCCAGGGCGCCTCCAAAGACCGCCCCGTCCCCCACCCGTGCAAGGCGAGCGCTACTGCTCGGGCGGCCCTCCCCGCTGCCTGCCTGCCTCTGGGGGCGCTCTGGCTCTCTCGCCGCCCGGGGCCGCCAGAGCCCTTCTTCATCAGGCGGCCGGAGGGGCCACAGCCGCTGCGTGCCCACAGGGTCCTCACTCCGCCTCCCACCGGGTACCGGGCTCCATGGGAGGCAGGGAGCCTCTTCTGACAGTCACTTTGGGTCTGCCGCTCCTTGGGCGCCGTGGGAGCTAGAGGAGGCCGCCACGCTGTGGCGACCAAGCAGCCGGCAAAAAGAAAAGGCAGAAGGCCAAGGGGGCAAATGGGACCATGGGGACCAAGGGGCCAGGCAGTCCAGGCCTGAGATGATGCCCTGCGGCTAGCTGGAGGGTGGAGGGAGGATAGGGTGGGCAAACAGATTGGGTACGAGGCAGCTGGCGCAAAAAAACCTTTTGCCTCCCCGTCGGGGAATCGAACCCCGGTCTCCCGCGTGACAGGCGGGGATACTCACCACTATACTAACGAGGACGACGGGGACACTTGTTCGGACACCAGACCCCACTGCGACCGCGGATGCGAAGCCCTGCCTTGATCCCTTCCGGCGACGGACCCCAGGGGATGGCCTGTGCCCGCGCGCGACCCGCCACCCGCCGCCAGTGGAGAGACCTACCCCGACACCCAGAAAAGCACCCTCCAATGACACCCAGATCCAGAGGAGCCCCGACAGCTACCCGAGTGGTGTGGAACTTCCCCATGCGCCCTGTCTGCAGTCTCCAACGCTGGAAGGAAGAGGCGAGGGCAAAACCGCCAGGATGCTCCTCCTAGGACTTGGTGGACGCCCGCTCTGCTGGGGTCCCGCCGGCGGAGGCGCGGGGGTGGGGACGTACAGCGGCGGCCGGAACAACGCGGACCGTTTGGTTCCGGGGTTGGGACGCGGAGGCGTACACTCCACAGCCAGCAGGCTGCGTTCACTTGGTGCCCGCTCAGCTGCGCACCAAACGCACGGCGAAGGGCTCAGGCGAGGAGATCCGCCGGCGGTCAGGATGGCCGAGCGGTCTAAGGCGCTGCGTTCAGGTCGCAGTCT